CAAACGTTTTGGAAAATATCAGCGTTTCGTGTTCGTTTTGACGGGGCCTTATTCCCCACTGGCTAAAAAATCTGTTTAAACTCGGGAACAAGCGGCTTTTAGTGGCAGTGGGAACAGCTTGCTGACGCATGTGTACCTGGGTCAAATGACTCGGCGAGTGACGAGCGTTTAAATTGCCTTGGCTCTGACCTGCATGCTATGGGAACACCAGCCACGGGTTGACCCGCTGACACCATTGAATGCAATGTAGGGACATCAACACACAGCACCAGTTGTGTGTTGATGTGTGATCTATCAAGCTGAAATGACTCTGTTTACATCCTATAAACATGACACAGCACTGGTAAGAGGGATTCGGACAGATAAAAGAGCAAAACAATAAAGCACACTCACTATTAGGGATGGGAATCGAAAACCGGTCCTGTTTAGAACCATTTTCGTGTGTTCCAATTCCATGGCACTGTTTGCCAGTTCGCTTAACGATTCCCTTAATGGTTCCAGGCAGAAATCTGAGCCTAGCGCTGGGCAGCACGACTTATGTCACATTTTTACGCAAGTTACGCACACGGCATTCAGTAAGCAAGTACGACATGACTACGCGTACGTCTAGAAAAGCAAAACAAAAAAATTGGCATCCCATCGGGGTAAAGTGATCAAAAGTTTGGCTTAATTTTAAGGAAGAGAAATGTGGCAACAAGGCGTTTTGCCATCATTGCAAAGTGGTGGGAGGAAATACATCCAAAATGCAGAAACACCTGCGCACACAAAATGGCATACATTTTAACAAATGCCGTGCTTTTGATGCTTACGGACAGAACCTAAAGTTACGACCAGCATGGAAGGCAACTCTGGTGGTAAGTAGCTAGTTTTATATCACTGGCCGTGCTTAATGTGGTTCCCAGTAAATCATATGCCATTTCTGTAAATAAACCAATTCCCTACCTCTCTTTGGGGTTGCAAAGTTGCTCCGCAGTTCAGGGATAGAGAGAAAGTTGACGCTCGTTTATTTAAATCAGAGGGAGATGAGTTTATTTCCCGAAATTGTACAGTAATACTTTTTCATTAAACGGATGCCTTTTGCTTCCTTACATGTTGCTCTCCACTTTTTACTTTCTTGATATCTGTCGCGCTGATAACATCTTCAATGCTAACCCATGGTGATGATGTCACTCAGCAGCAGGGGGACAGAGGCCATGCAGCTTGTCAGCTGGATGAGCTAAATGCTGATTGTTCAAATAGTACAGAGCCAACAGATATTGAACTGTTGGCAGTTGGTGTTCATCCTTATTATCTGTGCAGTGTTTTTTGGTAACTGTTTACATCAAAATTTCGGCTGTTGCTGACACAGATGCCATCATTTCTGTTGTTGTTAAGCTACAGACACAAAAGCCAAATGCATTTATGTAAATAACTAATTACATCTCACTCCATGCTACACTGCCAGTGTTCCAACTGTCTGTTAGCTGCTGTACTTAGAGAAAACAAAACATTGGACTTGTTTATGCTACCGTCAAGGACTTATACTTCTCTGAAGTAAGATGTCGGTAATTTGAATCAAAATCTCGTTATTTTATGCTCAGAGCATAAGCTCCTTTATAATAGGTACCCTGCATTACAAGTACCTCTAAGAAAATTATCACAGGAAGCTGAATAAACCCTACAAGTTTAGACTACAAATAGGGATGCATTTTCAGACACATTGAGAGGGCATTAATACAATGAGTGTTTGACTGATTATATAAACTTTTGTATAGAAAACACCATCCATACCATAACAGTGAGAAGCTTTCCCAATACTAAAACCTAGATCATCAGTGATCTGAAGGAACTGCTAAACCAGAAAAAAGAGCCTTCAAGAGCTTAATATTATTGAAGAGTATGCAGAAACAACTTAATGTCAAAATAAGAGAAAGTATGAAGGCACAGAGGAAAAGCCAGCAAGCCAGTTCCAGCAGAACACTATCAGAGATCTGTTTTCAGGGATGAATAAGATCACAAACTTCAAGCAGGAGTTGAATCCTATTAACCTAATGGGAGAAGAAGTTTAGATTGTTGAAGAGTATAAATACATTGGTGTTCACCTGGAATATAACATTGACTGGAGACCCAACTTTTAAGTCTCAAGTAGGTAGCAGGCTGTACTTCTTAAGC